TCATCTTTATTATCACCGTCTTCATCATCATCATCATTTTATTCTTCTTCTTCATCTTCTTAAACTTCAAATTTTAATTTTCAATTTAGGAAAACAATTTTCAACATTGTCTTTATCTTCAGTTTATTGAATTAATTTGTTTTAAGGTTGTTCAGATGAAAAGATGTTATTACTATAATATATCCTAAACAGAAAATATCATAAATAATCAATATATATATATTTAAATTAATTATTTAATTAAATTAAATTAAGGAAAAAAAAATAAACATAATACTACAGGTAACAAATCAGAACTAAAAAGTAGACATAAAAAACGATAAAAACGATTTAAAACGATACCAACTCTTTATTCCGATACCAACCCTTCATTCCGATACCAACCCTTCATTCCGATACCAACCCTTCATTCCGATACCAACCCTTCACTCCGATACCAACCCTTCATTCCGATACCAACCTTTAATTCCGATAGCGATACCATTGATTACCAACCGTTATACGTACATATGCAATATATATATATAACGTTTTATATAACATTTGAAACGATACTAACCATTTATAACGATACGAACCCTTTATTCCGATACCAACCTTTAATACCGACACCGAATACTATGAATATGGGACCCTTATACAGACGAACACAATAATACCTTTTGGTATTTTTACAATGAAAAACCATAACATCAAAATGCTTTCGTAAATTGCGTGCAAATTTTACAGTCACTGTGCTGAGCTAATAATAATACTGAATTTACTACGTAAGTATAAACATTATACAATACACACACAAACACACACACACACACATACATACATCAGTAATGTTTATGAATAATGATACATAAGCCTCATGTTTGCAGTTATGTGTTGAATGTATTTATTACATGGTAAATTCGTGTGTGCATACATTTATTTACATATAAAAAATTATATTCCTATTCTAAATAAGTAGTTCAATGAATAAATGAATGAATGAATGAGTGAGTGAGTGAGTGAGTGAGAGAGTGAGTGAGTGAGTGAGTTAGTGAGTGAGTGAGTTAGTGAGTGAGTGAGTGAGTGAACAAACGAATTGTTGGATGACTGACCGGCTGACTGATTGATCAAATGAACGAACGATTAAATGAATTAATCAATTAAAGTACGGACGAACAAATAAATAAATGAATGACAGAACGAATGAACGAATAAATGAATGATGAATAAAAGAATAAATTAATAAAAAACAAAAAAAAAAATTTTTATTTTACACTTATAACCATTATCAAACAATATTAATCTAAAATCATTGCCCTC